GATAAGACATCTCCGTCAGCACCCACAGTCCCACATACCACATGGCCACACAACCTATGTGGCCCATCCATTGCACAACTCAAACCTACCAGTGGCAGCTCCAGCTTCAGGAGCGAGGAGGGGAGCTGGGAGGGAGCTGGAAATGCTTCGCATGCAGTGGGGCAGCAAGCTGATCAGGGACAACCTGCAGCTGTGCTTGCTGGGGACGGATGCCCCCGTGAGCCAGGCTGGGATGAGCGTGCGGCAGAGCTCGTTGCTGTGTTTTGTACCTGCTTGCTTGGTGTACCACATTTTCAGCTTGCCTCGCTATCGCAGCTGCTTTTCCCGAGGCCGGGCAGGTTGAATAACCACTCTTCAAGGCACAAAGCACGATGCCAGAATCACCGAGGCTTCTCGACTGAATTCAGGGACAGGATCCAGAGGCTTTTTTTCCACCTGGTCCCATGTGAGCAGAAGTGCCAAGTGATGGAAACGTGATGGCTGGTGCAAAAGAAGATTTCCAGGCTGAGCTCAAGGCTTCACATTATTCAGCTGGGAATGAAGGACTAACAACTGGTTTTTGTTTTGGGGTTTGTTTTTTTTTTTCTTTTTTTAAATCATCATTTAACTGCTTTTATTGCAGCACTCCTTGGCCATATTTCAGAATCCTCCTCTCAAATAAATGAAAACCAGGTGGAGGACTGGGCCCTCTGCCCGAGCGTGCAACAGCGCAGGTCAGATTCCCTGCCTGGATGCTCACCAGGGTGCCGTGCCCAGCCACTTCCAGCTTTCAAGCATTTTGTTGCCTCTTGGGCCGCACAGGCTGTGGCCCCCTCGGTCCCTCCAGCACATTCCCTACGTATGGGCTCCCCATGTTTCCATCTCATGGATACAGGACCTCTCAGCCTCTTCCTAGAGCCCAGCTCAGCCCTCTCACATTGCTGGTGCTCCCGGCCCAGCACGCGACACTCCCAGTCTTCCCCAGGACCCTCCCTGTCCCACTGCTGGGGCAAACTGCGCCGTCCCCTTCAGACCCGCTCGAGCTGGACTCAAGATCCCTACTGTAGCCAACCCCAGGCAGCCAACACAAAGAGGGATAGCTGCCCATTTTTCTAAGCTTGGAGGACATGGGAGCCCTGGCAGCTAAGCCCACATTCCCTGAGGCACCGAGTGATGCAGCCGTTTTATAACCCTGGCTCTGTTTCACAAGTTGGATCCCCCACAGCTGTGTATGAAGCAGAGACACGTTCGCCTTGGATGCAGATATGCAGCGAGATGCTGTGTCGAGAAATGCTCTGCTGTGCTCACATCTCTCGTTTGGCATCAAATATTTTCTGCTCGCTTTGATAGCCCTGTAATTTTTTTTTTCCCCGGTGTCGAGGTGGATGAATAATCTTTTTGGCTTTAGGACATACCGGAGTGTCTGCCAGAATCATCAATCCCTCTGAATTCAAGAACAGGACAGCTTTTCCCACACTGACGTCCATGAATAGAGCTCACACCTGTGTAACAGTTAAGGGTATTTCCTTCAAAAGACAGAAATATCTAAAAAAGACTGGAAAATCCACATAATTTGATCAAGGAATCACTTCAAGGGCTGGCAACTTCTTTTGAAAATGAGATGTCTATATTCAGCACTGAACTGTTTCATTTCAGCATGGAAATCACTATTTCAGATTCTTTTCTTTCAGTAAATGAAAACACAGAAGAAAATCTGGGCTATCAGCCCAGGCTTGTAACAATTCAGGGTTTTTCTTGGCTTTTCCACGGGCACTTGCTGTCAGATTCCAAGATGCTGGCAGGATAAATCTGTAAGTCACAGAAATTACGAGTTTCATGACACACACATTTTATCCCAAACCCTCGCCGATAAAATTAAACACAGGAAAGAGCCAGGACTTTCATCCAGCTCCTTAATTACCATCTGGAGCCTGGCAGCTGATGTAAGATCAAAATTTTGCATAGAAAAGGAAAAAAAAAAAATTGCTATTACAGTGGGGAAAGAGATGAGACTTTATGAAGAGCTTGAGTAGAGATACACAAGCATCCCAATGCTGTCAGGATCCATCCCACCAGGGACTCTGTATCTCCTTCTTGCTCTGGAGACCACGTGCACAGAGCTGCGTAGCACCTCAGTAAAGCTTATCCCAATGCAACAGAAGGAGCAAAAATGCCCCAGTCTTAGTTCTTATGAGCTTTTTGAGACAGGGTCTTTATTTTAGGTGTCTCAATAGCATAGAGTAAAAATTCTTGCTCATGATGGGTGGAAGAGGGACAGACTCTGTCTCCTTAGTGGATCCAGTTCAGTAGCATGTCCTGGGTGTAGTGGGACCATCCTTTCATAACCCCGGAGCTTGCCTTCAAAATTATTGGAAGCCTGCTGGGAACCACATCTTGACAGATAAAGGATGATTTAGCACAAAACTGAAGCACAGTGGGTTGCTGCAGAGCACCGCAATCAGGACTTGCCAAGGGTAATTTGCACACGACAGACGTAAAATGCAAACTAACATCCTATATGCGTTGAAAGAGACTGTTTCACGAGGCTGAAAATAGTTATGAGCCAAGTCATGTGGCAGAAAAAGCATAAACAGAAAACAGCTTCTGATTATTATAAGCATTTAAACAACAATTTCTGAGAGATCAGGGAAAATTCTAGAATCCTGCTATCAGTATCAAAGCTATGCTGGTTAAAACATCTGCCTAGTCCAGGAGAGAAGTGAAAGGTACAGTAAAAAAAGCAACAAATGGAGAAAACCCCAGCAATCTCTATTAGAGGCCAGAAAACGGTGAGAAAGGCAGCCTGAGGAAAAAAGCATGGTCATCAGGACAGGGAGGAAGTGATTTTGAATCCACTGGGAATGCAAAGAGCCTTCCCAAGGCATGGATAAGTCATTTGCTAAAATAAAGTTTTCAGGAATACTGGAGACAAAGCAGATGAGGTCAGTAAATATTTTGGAGCTGCACTTGGGAAAAAGATAGCTCATACCACATGATGATGAAATACTCTCCATTTCAACAGTAACTTGGAGATACAGTTAACCAGTAATGAAAAAGCAAAGTATTTTAAAATTATGAGGTCCAAGTAATGTGCATCTAAGAATTTTAAAGGGGCTGGCCAAAAAATCAACTGGTTTATTAATTTTGCTTTTTCATTGGTCTTGAAATATTGCCTAGATCCCACAGGGTCCGGAGGTAGTGTTGTGCCACTATTTTAATACTTTACAACTACAGACTGGTCAGTCTAATTTTGAGCTTTGAAAAGATAACAAAATGATAACAAAAAGATACAAAATTGATGGTTAATGAACAATTAGCGGGTGTTACAATGTATGACAGCGAAAAAGGATTTGCTGAAAACGGATGCCACTGAACCAAAGAGGGTCCTGTTTTAAGTCATAATCACGTTGAACAAAACATTCTTACCAAGCATGTAGCTGCCCATTAGATGTTTGAGTCAGTAAAGTGGCTACAGGGCTCGACTGGAGGCAGAGCATGCATCTGTGTGCTCCACAGGCTAACAGCGCTGAAAACAGCCAACTGCAGGAATAAATTGCGTAGGAAGCCACAAGCCCTGGCTCCTCCACCCTTTTCAGTCCTCAGTAAGGAGCGTTCCTTAAGTGAAGACAGACTGATGTACAACCGGGCAGCTTTCAATCAAGAAGTTTTCGGGTAAGATGATCTCAGCTAATTCAAGACAGACGACTGTAATACCTTCAAAAGTAGCTTCTACTAATACAGCATAGGCAAGATAGAGCTGTAAATGGCATACGAGTGTAAAAGATTATCAGCGGGTTATATAAGAATACTTATGTGCGCTTGTGGGAAAATTTGGGGGTAGAGCTAAACTTTTAGGAACATGATCCCTACTAACAACTGTAGGGATTACAATTGTCACCTACCTTCTCGAGGAGCCTGGAGTGACTGTCAGGTCCCCGCTGCTCAACTCGGTTGTTAGCTGCTGTGGGGAACAGCATGGCTGCACGTACAGTGGTGATGAGAGGACCTGCCTTTACTGCAGCTACCGCCACTTGACCACCTCTTGACCAGCTCTTGCCCTGAACGACGGTTACATGCTACTTTCTGCCTTCTTGCTACTCTTCCTTATTTTTTTTTTTTTTGTTTGCAGTTGAAGAACTGATTGAATGAGACAGAAGATCTCCAGGAAAAGCGTAAGTGAGGAATCAACTCTTCTATTTCAAAAGGCATCTTCATCTGTCACACGTGAATAAAACATTCCTAACGCTAGGTTCTGCCTTGCTTCTGCACATTGGTATTTATTTGCCCGCCTCTTGCTTAGCAGTTAGGGTGATTTGGCAGAGGCAAAACACCCGTGCCCCTTCTAACCTTATTAATGGAAGTTATTTATAATGGTTTAATATTTTATAAAGATTACTGGCAGCAAAAAGACCCTATGTGCATTCCAGAGCGTGCCTAATGGATTCACTTTGAAGGCACAAATCGTACTTAGTTTACGAGAGCTGGCTCTGTGTGCAGGGAAATGCCAGTGACATGCTGCCGCTGAAAAGCCTGCCTTCAACAGCCAGGTCCATGCCTCCCCGTTTCAACTCAAAAAGGGTAAAAGCAGCAAGAAAAATTTACCAAGTTGGGGGGAAGAAGGAGGGAATCTAATGATTTATGGAAGAATGGCATTATTCATCATTTTCCACCTTGTTTTTCCCAAAGCAGTGAAATCTCTGAAATAGCAAAACATGCTTGGCAGAGACGAATGTGGGAGGAAGGCCCGATTTCACATTGTGCTTAGGGAATGGTTTTCAGGATGATGGATGACAGCTTGATGACTTAACTACCAAGTCACAGAGCCAGAGCACCAGGATCAGTGTTAGGTTTGCAACCCATGTTCCTTTTGGCAAGTTCCTTAACACGTCTCAGTGTTTGTATGAGTAAAATGCACTTTGCTGCTAGTTTTTTAAATGGTGTTTCAATTAGTCTTGCCTGCACGCTTCAAAGCTGCTGAATCCTCATTGCTGACACACCGTATGTTTATTTACAGATGGACATTGGTGCCAGGCAGCTCAAACACAGCTTTTAACAGTCCCAGAAACACTGCAGAGACAATGAGAGTTCGTCTCAAAGGGGATGCCATCTGTACCCTCTTCCTGCTGGTAGCGCTTTGCTCTTTACTCTACTCGCAACTGGAACATTTAGTCCCGGTAGGAAACAAGGAGCCGACACAGAAGAAGTCTTCAGTAACACCAAAAATATTTTCTGACCCCAGGGCACCTTGGAGACCGATGCCAGCAGAGGCAACGGTACCCAGACCCCAAGTAACTCCTATCATTAAACGAACGGAAGTGGCCAACAACAGGGTCCAAACTACAAGTCCACCCCCATTGGCTGATTCTGCCTTCAACTTCAAGCGCTATCTCCTAAACAAGGATAACAGGAACTTCAATCTCCTCATTAACCAGCCCAAGAAATGCAGGAAAACACCTGGAGGTCCCTTTCTGCTCATTGCTATCAAATCAGTAGTTGAAGACTTCGACAGACGTGAGATTGTCCGGAAAACTTGGGGCAGGGAGGGCTTGGTGAACGGGGAACAGATCCAGCGAGTGTTCCTCCTGGGAACACCAAAGAATAGGACAGTGCTGGCGACATGGGAAACTCTGATGCACCAGGAGAGTCAGACATACCGGGACATTTTACTCTGGGACTTCATGGACACTTTCTTCAATCTGACCCTGAAGGAGATCCACTTCCTGAACTGGGCTGCTGAATTCTGCCACAACGTGAAATTTATTTTTAAAGGTGACGCCGATGTTTTTGTCAACATTGAGAACATTGTTGACTTCCTTGAGAGACATGACCCTACCGAAGACCTCTTTGTTGGAGACATCATCTATAATGCCCGCCCTATCCGTGTCCGAAAGAGCAAATACTATATCCCAGAGACCATGTATGGGCTAAGCATCTACCCAGCCTATGCAGGAGGAGGGGGGTTTTTGCTGTCCAGCCGCACCATGAGGAAGCTCTCTAGGGCTTGCAGAGAGGTGGAACTCTTTCACAT